CTTTCCTTTGCCTAAAGGTTTTCGCTGTGTATCGGACGTCTTCAACTGATAATGATTTGTTGATCGTATTAATGACACCTGAAAACTGAAATACAGGCCTGCTCAATTGCTCGCCGCAATATGTCGATGCGACGAATCGCTATATATGTCCTTAATGTTGATTTACTCAGATTCATAGGCCTAGGTCGATTATAACCTGCCATTGGTGTAGGTAGCTATCCGTCGGCAGGCCGGATTGAAACGCCTGCTTCTAACCGCCGTAAATTCGAACGCTTAGCTAGGATGTATCCGGTATAGATCTTCGTCATATCTCCAGCATCTGGTAATACAGGGCAGTTTGGAGCAGTTTGGAAAGAACCTCATGCATGTTGCAACCATTGGGAGTGTGGAAGTTTCTTGATTTCCTGTTGTAGCTATCGTGAAAGAATATCTGTTAGCAACGTTGAATAAAGCTCAAGCATACATACTTGATACGACTAGAAGCTAGCATTGCAATCATGCCTGAAACTAGGCTGAAGGGTGAACATACTTCAATGGGTCTGAGTAGAGATATCGTGAGAACCACTTAAACTACTATATGAACACACATTGTGGGCCATGCAATTTTAATTGACGCCTATAATTGCGTTATCACTCAAGTTTAGCCAGTAAATCTGAGACTGGTGGTTATGATGAGGTCGAAGCATATTAGGCAACCCATACTTGTTGTAATGGTATATCAAATTCATTGGTATATAAGTACATGTAGTTATTTTGCAGTACCTCGCCACACCATCTTAATTCCAACAACGTTTCTTAACATGTGTTCGTAAGACGTTAATCTCTTCAGGCGCCAAGAAAACCCGGGAAGATCTCACTGAGAACCCTGCGCGGCGGCCATTTGGTAAGGTTCCCGGTGGCTTATTTCATTGCGGCACGGGCCGCACTTTGGTCGATTCGACCCCAATCGCTTGTTTTGGTACAACCTATTTCTATGTTTGCTATTATATTTCCCCGGTTCTAGAATTATCGATAGGCTGGGCAGGCTATTATACTACATCTGAACTTCATTCTGTCGTGTGACTCGCTATTGGTGAGATTTAGCAAGTTCCGCACCTAGAACATGGCCCATATATGCCATATAACCTCTGAGATTTCTAGTAACTCGATCCAACACTCAAATTCTGACCGCTATAGCCGCCTATGAGTACATAGTAGTTCTCGGTAAATGTCATTTCAGTTTGAATATAATCACATATGGAAGGCTAATTCACCCCGTGATTCTCGTCTGTTGTACAGATGGTGCAATAATTTCCACATATATATATATGAACCGGGAGGGGCACTGCAGATGCATGATCATGAGCCATAGTCCATCACAAGTGTTACGTTTTGGCATAACAAGCAAAAATAAGAGAATGGTTGCGGGGTCGTCCACGATGGCTGGGTGCTATGCCTTTCTACATTACGATAGAACTCATAATCGACAAGTTATTATTTGGACATATCTCTCATTACTATTGCTATCGAGGTCAACGTCTCACAACATGCATCCCACGAGAATTGCAATGATCGGGGTCGAGAAAACTATCTCGATCCTATTACTATGAAAACCGGGGCTGGATTTGGATGGATACGTGTACGTATACGTAGATGTATTATTGAATCTTGAGGCGCTTGTACGCAAACTTCTCTGCGAGTTCACCCCCATACACCAGGGCTTATTGAAGTAATTGGCAACCAAGACTGCATATCCCTATTTCTCACTCATTGAGATTTTGTTCAGAACCATTTTCCGACGAGTCTCGAGGTCGATGTGTGGTCATTCATAGGCCGCGGGTTTATGATTAAATATACGCAGGTTAGCTTTATTGGGAATATGGTCGATGCATCAATGATCACTCGGCCTATATATTTGCTGGTAGTGTGAGGCTGGTGCCACAAAAAAAAAACTTCAAGTAATATTAGATGGATGCCTTATCCTCTGGAGGTGAGGGCTGCACATGCGGTGCTCCATTAATTTCTGTCTAAGCCTAAATATAGCCAATGAAAGTGGTTTTCTGAGGCACAAGAACAAACAACTGCGCCAGAAAATCTCGATCTTCGGAAACTCTCATTGAATTCGTAGATACGGAGTGATACGTGTGCTACGAAATTCAATTAGTAATGCTAGTGCAATATTATCTAAACAATACCAAAAGCAAGTGATAAAGAGTTGAAACTTCATCACATGAAACGTTAGGCTGAATTAAAACCAGTGAAACCTAACGCGATACTTATGGAAACCTTCGAAATAAAAACTCCCAGCATGTGGGTAGGCTAGATATCGTTCTGCGTCATACCTTATCTAAGATATCTGGGGTTCGAGCTCTTAGAGGTAATGGGATAGGACATGAATTACTCATGGGAATTTGTTCGGAAGATTATAAATTGAAACTGGTATTGATACCCTAGATATAAGCCTGTAAGAATTATTTAATATAGGCTGTGATGTATTGCAAATATCGAGGGAACGAATTAGATGTAACAGAATGAACGGATACGTACATGCATACGGAAAAATTAGAGACTTAGAAATAGCCGTCAAAAGAAGGATATACTCAAGCCCGACCTGTGAGGGACCGGATCTGGCTCGGTACCATGATTATCACAGTTTTTTGCCTATTGGTTTTCGACGAGTCCGTCAATGATTGGAATGGCCTAACACACTGTACTGTGAGCTTTGAATTAACTAGATGGTGAGTCACTATCTACCTAGTCAACGGTAATGACCACGGGAGAGACATATATGTACCCAGATCGAACACAGCTACAGTCGGTTGGCCGATGCAAAATCTGCCGGGTCGAGATCCCTTGATGCTTTCAAATTTATCAGAGATATACTCGCGCGTTAATTAAGTCCGAAGAAATTTTGAGAGGCCGGTCGTTGCTGCTACCAAGAATTCTCAGCAATTAATTAATGCGAGAGTAATCTGGGAATGAAATTGTGTTATAACGTTAATTGATGCAATATATTTGTATAGTGTCTTTGTAATACAATCTTTTGGATAATGGCCCAATAAAGCACCAGTTCGACCGTAAAGTATTCTTCTTTGAGTCACAATCTATTATAGTACTAGCCAGTCTAGATTGTTTCTTCCGGTATAGAGATTAGGAAGGAAGTACTTGGGTACCTTATGCCTGGGCATCTCGATATCCGGATAGAATTTATTCTAGACAATCAAAGGCTAGGATAGCCTTCCAATATTTGTTTCTCCAGTCTAATCTAGTTTTTATGACAGCTTAGTATTCTGAAACTTAACTGATCATGGTGGGTGTTGTAAGAACTTTAGAAAACGGAGCAACAGTCCTGACCTTAGATACTAAAGAGACCGTCTGAGAAACGCTTTCAAGGGAATCTGCTTAATGACTTTGGCACTGTTTAAGAATGGTCCAAGACGGGTTTTGTGGTCAAAAACTCCGCTGCAGATAGAAATTCGTTTTAAGAAAAATGAATTGTCATGTTTAGCACGCCATTTTTCACGTGTAGAAAACAACATTGTCAGATTTTTTTTCTTTCGAATTAACAACTTTGACTTACTTTCTCGCCCCAAACCACTCATAAGTTTTGTTAGAGTATTCCCCCATTTACGACCCCCTGGCGAGGGTATGTATGTATAGCGGGGCGGGGTTTACCATGGCCCGCCCCAAAACCAGTCTTTACTAATTTTTCTTAGAGTTAGTCGTAGGGATAGATAAGGGGATGCTTCCCGAATGCATATTTAAGATTTTTGGGGATGAGCTAAACCTCGTCTCATATTATCACCTGTAGCTGGCCGTAGGTGAACCTAAGATGTGTAAGAAGGATTTTAGGCTTTGTATTAGTATACGTAAATTTGGTCTATTACAACCTTTCTTTTTCTCTTCAATATCACAGGACGTGGGTCTTAACTGTTTTTTTGCTGTTGATAATGATTCCAATATAGTTGGGACCCGTGACTTGGGTGTATGAAATTCTTGAATACATTGGGCGGGATAGGTATCCGTCTCAACATAAAAGCAAGTCTGCTTTCCCACTCAATACCCCACTTTTCTCCTAAAACTAGACTTGACTAGGTGACTTGTACTGGCGGCCGGGCTGAAGTGACACCGGCTTAACCTTGGTATCTGACCGGCAAAGAAAATGGTCTCGCCGGTCAGTATTAAGGTAAACTTTACCGAGCCGGTATTTTTTTCGGGAAAGAGCTGGAGGGGGTGAGATCTAGGACCCAATCCATAATCCTAGCTTAAGCCCATTAAATGTTGATTTGCAGTTGGAATCACTCAATCAACCCATGTAACTGCAAATCGACGTCATAAACTGCAATTAGGTGATGGGATGTCGAATGGAGTGGTAGAGATGTGATGTTGACTTTGATCTCGCGAATACCAATTGATGGGTTGTAATTGCATGTTGACCTACTCTAGGTACTGCTGTCGACTCTGAGCTCGAGGGACAATGAAGTGTATTGGTCACACTCGATCTCCAAAAGCTCGAATCGAGTTCTTGGCACTAGTGGTGAGGGCAGCGCTCATTGAATTAAAATACAACTCTCTAGCGTGCGATAAAAAAAAGCACAGAGAATTATTACAGTGACAGCTTTCAGCACAGCACAATTGCTCTCACCACTGCCAAGGACTCTCAAAGTTTGGAAATCGGACCTGGTAAATACACCCTCTAATTTTTCCGTTTTACACTGGTTGTGAGGGCTACAGTCGCTCACCGTCACTCGACGAATTAATGCGGGACTAGTAATGGCAAGCAACTATGGCAATAACCTATCCCAAGCTATTATTATTGATTTCTATTGGTTCAGACCTCCAGCTGGGTATTGGTTGAGTGGTTCTTATTGAGGAACGATTCAGGGCTTGCTGAATCAGAATCAGTCTGCCGGCATAGCGCTAACCCCTTTTTTGGACCGGTGGTAACCAAAGAGGGCGGACAACTTTACGTCGAGAAATCTCTGACACCCGATAGGAAAGATAAGACAATAAGAGGCAATATGGATATTCCACGTTCCGATTCTTCAGACGAGCAAGCCGACAGTGCCTGGGTGCATTCATCTGATGACATATTGGGCCCCGTCAGCTGGCCAGCGCCAGCAGATCTCCTATGGCCGCCAAACAACTATTCAAACCTCCGGAATTCTACCGAACGTCCTTCAGTGCCTTTTGCTGCTGCTAACATGAGAACTTGGTAAGGGCAGGAAAATTGTGTTCTTAGGCAATTGTCTTCTTGCCACCCCATAGCTAGCTTTTAGCACATAGCCCATAGCCTACTTCGACTGACGTCGAGAGCACTAGGGTCAGTCCATCATCGATCACAGTACCAGCGTTGCACTGTTATCCCCCTTTACTCGCTCCAGTTCCCTCGGAACTAGAAGTTCTTGAACAAACGTAATACCATTTTTGACTGAGGAATCTTGAATTTCCTCTCTGTACTGAATTGTTATTATCCCCTGTTGCGCCGATTTCTGATTATTTCCAGTTGGGCTAGAGTCGTACAGTCGCACGAACGGGATACCGTTTCTGAGTTGACAGAGGAGGACATGGCTACCCCTGGATTCAATTTTCGCCTATATAATACTACAAACCCTAATGAGCTGCCCGCGGAACCACCTATGAAGGTCACTGGAGGTGGCTTCTCTGAATACATCACGCAAAGTCACGGAAACGATCAAAATCAATTTTTTAACTCTGGGCTACAGGAACCAGTGAGGGTAACATATGTGATGCCAGGTGCAGACGAAATGACTTCACACAATATGCGTATGGAAACGCACCAAAATTCATTGTCTTCAGAACCATACGGACATTTTGAAGAGCACGCTCTCCAGGTTCATTACCAGTCAACATTGTGGAGTAGAGATTCTCCCACAAGCTAATTCAGTGTTTTATTTTATCAAGTCAATTTCTCCTCGAGCAACCCGTACTATGGAGCCAACCTCACCGGTATTACCCAATCCTCCTCGCCGGCCGCTACGTTTGAATTCGGCAAATATAACCCAGCTTCTTCACGAGGAGCCAAGTAATAGGTCTATGGCGCCGCTAATAACATCCTATTATCCTACGTCAATTGTGGACTCACCCGGCTCTTCAATTTGTGCGGTGAATTCCGCCTACAGCCACCAAATTGAACCGGGCAGTGACGTGGATGAATACAGACAAGGTCAAGCCAGTCCTGAAAGTCCCTCGAGAATGTCTCATGATACCACGGGACCATCATTTCCCTCCCCTGGGATATCCCCAAGTCACCTGCAACGTGCAGCATCCACAGGCGGCTTGCGTTTCGGCACAGTTCAACCATTCCGAGGGTATGATCAACAATACTGGGGGCCTCCAAGGCCTCATATTACCCGTTGGTCTCATACTGAGCCTCCATCACCCGCTGAAGATAATGCAACAACGACGGTGAACCATGAGAAAAATAGAAGGTCATCTCTTAAAACCTGTGAGCTCGAAGAGGCAGGGCTTGATTTCCCTGGCTGCTATGTCCTGGTTCCTACCACGGAAGATTCTATAGCTTCTTCTGAGATTGCGATTGTGGAAGGGCCCGAGCCAGGGTTAATATCTACGAAAAAGAATTTCAGAAGGCCAATGGTGGAATCTGAGAGACAGGCCATAAAGTTAAACAGAAAGTTCGGGGTTTGTCTTCGTTGCAAGATGTTCAAGGAAAGGGTATAACATTCTCAATCTCAATCGGAAATGCCTTGAAATCCTTCTTACAATTACTAGTGTAGGGGAGGTTTTCCTTGTGAACGATGTCGGTCCTTGAGATTTTGGAAGAACATATGTGTTACCGCGCAGTTTACGGACAAGTCAATTTTTACCAGAGGTAATTGATTCCTGGGTGTAAAACCTCTTTGCTGACTTTTGAAGGACTTTACAAATCGCGGGTATCGTTTATGTTGGAGAATGTTCGAGAGTGGCTTCCTGCTGATTACCGCCATCAGGAAGTTATAGAGGTAAGTATTGGATACTCACACAGGCTTTCCATAACTCTGCAAAAGTTTGATCCTATAGATGCATCGCTCCTAGAGCATATTCTATGGAGAGAACTCAGGAAAACCGACTTTGCTCGGATACCCTCCTCAGCGTATGGGATAATTGCAATTGAAGATATCTCATCGCGGCTTGAGGTCTATTTTGACAGTCATATCGATGACCTTATTCTGGAAGCCCAGCGGAATGCAGGGACAACTTCCCACTCCGAAATATATGCGCAGACTCTATTAGCCGCACATCAATACGCGATCGATAACCCGGAAAAAGTGAGTTTCTACCTAATTATGAATAAATTTCATATGATCATCTACTGAGGTTTTATACAAGGGCTTACTTGTACGAAAAGCCTTGCGAATCTGGGCTGCACAAATCGTTTTCTTCAAAGGCGTCTGGAGGATTGAAGGAACAAATACTGCTGGCATGCCGACGATCACTGACCGAAAGTCAAAGCTCTGCGGGATGACCCCTCTACCCCGCTTAGCTAATCAACAGCTTGACGCAAAGGTAGAAAGCTGGATTGCGGATCTTGAGCGAGAAGTACTTTCAGAGCTACAACATAAAATATTCCGTCGTAACTCCGCCGATTGGTTTGGAATATATCTCACTTTATTCGTAACCTTGTGTAGCCTGGAAAGAGATACCTGGGGTCTTCAAACGTGGGCTTTCGATGCCGATAACTTACTTCAAAGTGTAAACAACCTGGTAAGTAACCTAGTTGATTATGTTGCTTAATTTACTATCCTATCACGGATCCGTGCTAAAACAAATTTTAGGGTTTGAGTAGACCAGATGAAGTACGGGGAGCATGGACATGGCCACTCCAGGAGACGCCGAGGGTGTTAATCGAGAAAAACCTACATCTCGCGGAAACGCTTACCGCTCATTTTCGATCCGTTACTAAAGGATGGGTCCCTTTCACCCTTGACTGGCACAGTGACCCTGTCATCGCATTGTCGGGAGGAGAACATGTAGCCGTGAATTATATGAGATCTATCTGTCAATGGATTAAAGACGGGGGTAAGGATTCCGGATACCCCAAGGTATTGTGGCTAAATTAGTAATTGGAATTATAGAACCCATCTTACGCGCCAGAGCTTCTGCAGAATATAGCAAGGATTTTTTTGATAGTTTAAATCTCATGTATTGTTCCAAGCTAATGATTTCTGACCGCGAGGATTCTTGACACTTTAAGGCAGGATTGGATTGATTTACATTTTTCGCATTTTGGTCTATTCTTATTTGGTTTTTTCTTTCTTTCCTTTCACTCAAAAACCATTAAGCATATCTTGTTTTGAAATTGCATATACTTGGGTCAACGAAAGAGCAAACGAAGAACTTCGAGTATAATATTATTTTTGGGGAAGTTTACAGATCTATTAATTGGTGGGATGAGGAATTATCTGTAAACTCGATTATCATAAAGATATATGAAAAAGAGAATTATTTATACTATTAAACAATCACTGCCCAAGCCGAGATACACAGACCGAGTATGTACGCTTATAAAGAGATTTCATTGTAGTCAAACTTTTGGAAGAAATTCACAGTCGGGAAATATTTATTTCGAAGGAAATTACATGTAATTAACCTGTGGTGGGTTGCATGATTAACGGCGCTAGTATTACGAAATTTGAATAGCCGCGTCATCAATAGTAGCGTAGCTTACTTCCTAGCGCTATATATTAGAAGGGCTTAAATTCGTTACATGTAGTTAGCATATTTGGCAAGAAATGATCACAGTATATACAGATATATATATAGGACGATACCTATATAGGATTATAACCAGTCACTTCACTAGCTAGCTAATACTGTTTGATCTACTCTAGTTCTAGCCTATCGAACTCCTATAACTAAATTGCCTGCAGCATGTCCTGCAGCCTGCAACTCGGCTCGCGGCGATGGACAAAAATTGCGCTCGACCAAGAACATCTAATAATTGAGTGGTCACTACAGTCGACTCTTGCTATAGTGATACTGCATAGTGATACTCTCGTTATGGATAGCAATCGGCGGTCCTCCCTCCTTACTTCTTATAGTGATTATACTCGCCTTATAAGAATCAAATACAGATTTTCTGTCCCGACAGTATCCTTATATTGAGAGGCGACTTTATCTAGAAAGAGAGATTGTTAATACTAAATCTAGGCCAATTGCAAGACGCGGCTCCAAGCCTAAATCTCGATAATATTAAGCGCATTAATAGCCAGAGGGCATGGTGTGGTAGTTGGGGTCGAGATTGTGGCAAACAGCATCTTGATCTGATAATTTTGATACGTAGTAATTTGAATCAATAGTCGCGCCCCTGACCTGTTTCAGGTAATGTGGCGTGTATAAAGTGGAAGTGCAAAAATGGCAGCACAATCTGAAATAATTATTCAGGCATGGGGGCGTTAGTTAAACAAATGGGTATGGGTCACTTCAACTCTCGAGAATGCATGTATAGGTGTGTCAACTTGGGCTATAATTGGTAGAAATCGACAACTAAGTCGAAAGAAGAGATAGTTTAGGGTGTGTGTTTGTATTCGTAATCATGATCTGATTCTTCACGATTCCAAATACCGCAAAAACTCACGAACTTTGCTAGCGGATCTGACTAAAAACTAACTTGTAGAGGAAATATCTGAAGCTGATCTCTGCCTTTCAGCCAATCATCAATGAAGAAATCCCTGCACGGAGATAATCAAGTTGGCGAGTTTCTGCGGTATTTGATGAGGCCCCGTTGCATCGAAAAATTGATTTGACGCCCTAGATCATGGTTGCAACACGAATTCACATTATTGCCTCTCGAGCTTAAATAACCACCTAGTCTAGTATCAAAAGTCATGCCATATTGGCCATAAAACAAGAAATCACCACATACCACACTGTCACATCTTATTCTATCATCCCCAACACAGCAGTCCTACGGTACTATGTGGTGACAGCGTCACAATCCTCCCTGGTTCAGATCAGGTTCCCTTATATCAATTGATGCCGGTTGGAAACGCACTTTGCCTCCCAGTGGCAAAGTGACTGGGCCACGGATCATGATCAGTCAGCCGCATGTTACGATTGTGGAGAAGTGACTTTGCCACTATCCCTTAAGCTGCCAGGATCGATTCCAATCCTGTTACTCAACCCAATACTGAAGTCGTGATATAAACATCGCAGAGTATGTTATGAACGCCGCTAGTATTCAAAGGTGTCCTTATATCTATATAAAGGTATTCCAAATTGTAATACAAGGCACTTAAACTCTTTACGGAAACATGATAAAATTGAAGGCTAGGGCTAGTATTGTAAGTTGTAATCTTTAGTGTGCATGAAAGGTTACACTCCACTTTTTATATACGGTTACCATAAAGGGTTTGAGCACCCCATCGCAGTTCGGACTTCTGCGGCATGCATCTGATAAGCACGCAATATGAGTACGTACCACAATGTGCCCGGTAGATGTCAAAGAGGGGCAATTGTATCGAATAGCTAGTGATCTTTCTGGCGACGGCTAGTCAAGGGAATATGGGGGGGCGGTAATGAGCGTAGATGTAATTTATCAGCCCTAGGTCGGCGAATACAAGAGTGCTTACCTACTTATCTATGGCCACGTCGTTAATCCTTAAAAGAATAGTCCCCAGTACATGTAGAAACCTTCACTGGGGTATACGCATGGCCAACAAGGGAGTATGGCCAATCTCAAATATACCGGAGTGATATAATTATAATATAACTCCTTTGGGTGCCCATTAAAAATCTTAGAACTAACCACACTTCGAGCTCGGTGAAGGCGTGTAATCATTTCCAGTTGATAATACTTAAAAATTGTCCAATAGAGCATATCTACATATGTACTAAGCGTCAAATCTGACAATAGTCACTCCTCCACACTCCAAAGTGGCATCTATAAGAAATGTCAATGGTATGGGGTCGCCCGGGAAAAACTGAAATACAGAAGAATGGATATTATGTAGAGTACACTCACCAGACAATATAGTAGCTGACATCATGATGTGCATTCCGTATCCTGCTAGTGTATGTTACAGGTAACATGTGAACTTTTTTAATTTTAGATTTACACCAATCACACTTTCTTTCTATAGCCGACTCGCCGTGGAGGAGAAATGTCGATCTTGCTTCTGGCAAGAGGTGTCAATCGTCAGAATTGACGCTTAGTAAGTGCAGACTCCAGTCCCCTAACCCTAGATAACCCTAACCCTGTATTGATATGATTGACCTCTATTTTTGACATTGGTTGTGTATTATACGTAGCTAAGAAGATTCACTCGATCCTGAAATTTAAGCCCGAGTACTTTGCGCTTTCTTTTTACTATCGCCGATGGATGGGATGAGAAATGGTATGATATGAATTACGAGTGCTTTGGTAACTACAGTACTGTATTGTTTTGGTATAGGTCAATTATAAGCGCCAAGGTCGAACCTGGTCTAGGACTAAATGCAGGCGACCTATGAGAGCCTACATGTAGTTAAGACCTTAACGATGAATGTTTTCGGCAAAAGCAAAAAGAAATTGTTTGGTCTCAAGTCATGGGCCCTCGTAGGCCCCTCGCTTGAGTAAGACCCGTCTATTCACACCTGTTCGTGACATTCATTTCAAGGATTCTAATACATAGCTAGGAGCAGGCTGCCAAGAGATCAATACCAAAATGTAATTATATCATTCTACTAATATCACTTTCGGCTAGAAACTACGGGATTAAGCAATATTTGAGCCGACATTCGGTGGGTCTCTGAAAAGTTGAACTTCACCTCAACCATTATACGGGATTGTAAAAAGTGACCAAAGCATTGAGCTTCTCTGTTCGTGGGAGGAGGTCACGCTAATAATTGGGCTAATAGTGCCCCCTCCTTTGCAAATTAGACTTCAATATTGAACTCTCGTTAGTGCCAGCTTCGCTACCTAATTTAAGAAATTCGTGTCGAGGTCACGGTTGGACGTGCTATAAATTGCCATGTCATGATTCACAACCAAGAAATGCTGCATTCGGCTCTTCTTTAAATTTCGGGCAGAACTCTCAAGGGGTGGTTGGATTGTTGAATGGGCCATTGAGATCGATGGAAAAAAAGATACAGAAGCACTAGCGGGTCATTTTTATCAATTTAGACCAGATTTGTCTGTTTGCATCAGTACGAAAGCTTCATCATTTAGCTAAACAATAAATAATGAAATGGCCTACAATGAGGAGCCGGGCGAGATACAAAGAAAGTTCTCTCATTCGAGATAACAAAGTAGAGTGTTTTTAACAACAAACCCGGCAATTGGCACTTCTGTAAACCGGCATCCACAAATGTCAATTTTGGATGGAATCGCTTGCCAGCCTGTGGAATACGGCAAAAAAGATATCAAGTACACTTGCCAGACACCACAAGCTGACACCATGTCCCACATTTCGTATTCTCCTAGTGTATCACTAGTAGCACGAGGGACTGTTTCATATTGAAGCCTACTCCAATCACACTTTCATTTTGCCTCTGGCAACTATCAATTTCTAAATGTCCATTATCAGAGCTGCTTAGTAAATTCGCTTAATGCCCTGCGTATAAGTGTGTGACTGTGCAGGTAACGACCTGTAGTTTCAGGTGAGCTCGAGCCATTATTGCTATCGCTTTTTCATGACTGCATAGTAAAATGCCACGATTCGAACATACACGACTGCACTATATTATGCATGATATCGTGGTTTTGAGCGTTTCAGGGGAAAAAGGTGACTGTTTGCATGACACAGAGCCGCACTGTCCTTTGGACATCCCCGGGCTTAGATATAGGAGGTGGGCCGATGAAGTCTATCGAGTCTCGACGCCACCTAAATTAGATCGGTGAGTTGTTATGGGCTGCCGATCGGTCAAGCATGGGGAGGATCAGATATCATTGGTGGTGTTTGTTTTAAGATCGTAGTGCGTGTTGAAAGGGAGAAGGGGAAAGCATATATCTAGGATCCTTTGTTGTTGTTTCTCAATAAAGAAAAAGTTTACACTCGTACCAAAGCATATAAAAGTGGCTCAAGTTCCACCGCAGACCCGCGTATGTACCAGGCCGAACCGTCACAGCACAACATCGAAAGTAAATATCTTGTGCAACTACCACATACCAACAAGATGACAAAAGTCTCGTACGAAACTCAGGCTTACAGCCCAGCATGCTTCGACACCTTGAGATACCTCGAGGATGCCCAAAAAGAACTGGAAAGTAGAAACTTGACCCGTGAGGGTCTCAGGCCAGTCAGGTCAGTACTATCCGAATCGTTCGTTTCTTTCCTCTAACATCATATGCATTCAGGGAGCTGTTTCACAAACACAATGTCCAAAAACAGCTTGGACTCACAATTCTTCACCGCCACTTCAACATGGCTGCTAACGAGAGACTGGTTGAATATGGAAAAGTTACCACTCCATGGCTCCTTGAATCTGGCGAGATTTTCGGTGGAAAGATTGTCCCGAGGGGTTGGGCACTACACCAGGGAGAATTGTACCCCACCGAATTTGGCTTCAACCCACTCGGAGACACGACTTATCCAGACATCACATTTGCATCCGAATTCGTTAGCGAACTCAAGGATTTGTTCTCTAAGCTCAAGCTCGATGATCTTTTTGGGTTGACAGTCCTTGATAATGGAAACCCCTTGGAGATGCCTGGTGTCGAAAGGACTATTGGAAGGGTCAGCCTTAATATCCCGTTCCAGGAAGGGGAGTCAAACAACACCGTGGAGGCAGTTTGGACCTTTGGATGTCATGAGAGCTTGGACAATTCAACTGTCTGGCCGGCACGTATTTGTTGGGTTTGCAAAGAGTGCAAACAGAAGTAAAGTTGGAATCTGATCATAGTGAGCACGGACCCACTGGTATGACACGCATGCATATTGCCACTAGCTATGAATAGCTATAGCCCACGACTAACGCAATTCTGTAGGAGATAAGATATATGTATCGATACCTTCTTTTTACTCTTGATAGTGTTAGCAAATATCTTTTTTCAAGACGTAGGATCCGTGAATAGAAACTCTTTCTTTTTTGTAAATCCTTACAAATAAATGTTTTTTATTATCTATAATCTCATCAATTGCAACCAGGAGATATGTTTGATACATGCAGTATTGTACTCATATTATGTAAAGAGATATTTTAAACAAAACATTTTATTTAATAATATATCACCATTACAATAATACATGTCACCTTGTCCGTTAACTAAATTACGTTGCTATTCATGATTCCAAATAATAATCTTGTATCAAAATTTTTAGAGCATTTCTTCGATCCTTCCGCTTTAACTCGTCATCACCACTAAATATAAGTCTGGTTGCTGGAACAACCAGATGGCTTGTCGAGTTACGTTGTAACTGCAGCTTTAACTTTTGCTAACTGAGGCATAAGAGACGCTCTAAGGTCTCCATAAGCTTATAAACCTGAAACAATTCCTAACACTCCTAAAAGGCCCTTAATAACCTATACTACTATCATAAACAAGGGTTTCGTAAGGATATGTTTGCTTCTGCCGGTTTATAAATATATAGCAACTTCAAAACCACAGATAATATTCCAGAGACAATTTGATTCTGGAGTCGTAAAGCTCTGGAGATATCTCAAACCTTAGGCATTCTCTGGGTGGCTAGGTTCACACCACACATGTACCCCCACACGTTTTAAAATATCAAGAAGCTTGTCCAAAGAAAAAAAAATGAAGGTAGTCAAAGTATGCTGAAAGTAAATATTTCTTCTATAGCTCCCGTAAACACCAAGGACTGAATTCTAGGTTCGAGTCCGGAGAAGCGATACAGACTGGAATGTTTTACTTACCTGGCTATTCATAAACCGTAAATTACTGACCCTTGAAAGTTTATGTGGGAGTCGTAAGTCATAGGGGGTTATGAAAGATTAATTTAGATCCAATAGTTGATCAGAATTTGTTAGTATTAGCCCCTTCTTTTGCCCCCACGAAAAGATCAGGATTCAATTAATTAGCTTAAAGGATAGTTGCAGCTGCAGGCTGCAGCCCATGCCATATTGAAGATCTCAAAGTAAAAATGAATCTATGTAGGGGTGGTCGCAGCACTAGGCCTTATGATGATTGCGAGCCCGGATTCAATGCTGCAAGTATGAGTGCCTCTGTGAAACGATTTTATCTGATTGGCTCCAACTATATTGCATCATATACCGGTAGCAGAGTGGTCGCTTGTAGGACATTTTATGCGTATTGCGACTGCCTATCGCGCCGGGATGAACTTAGCAGAACTGATATTGTTTGTATCAATACTCAAATCATTATTTGACACTCGTGTCAAGAAAGTCGATGTCTAGGGGAGTAAGGGCTGGTAAATTCTTCCCCAAGATAGTATTTGCATCGCAATTGGCTCTTTAGATAAAGGAACGCATAGTGCAAAGACTCCAATTACATACAACGACTTGGGCGCCAATGCGGTGAACCTTTCTGGGTGAAAATGAAGAGTAACAATCGCCGTCATATTTGTAAGTTTTGGGTTATGTTGAACTCCAAATTTGACCCCTTCGGACTCCCAAATAGATCGGTCATGGAAATAATCATTCTGAACCAATTCCTTGGCGCCCAGGATTGTTTATTGATGAGACAAACACCGACCAGCGATAGAAAAGATAACCATAGCGGCCAGGAATCGGAAGATGCGACTGCTCTCTGCGTCCATAAATCTAGAAAAGAGGTCATACACCTTGATGGAAAAGCGGAAAATGTGGCGTGTTGTGCTGTCATACTTGTGAGAACCTTTACCCCAATTAGTTCTGGTGACGCAGCACTTTAGAGAGTCCCATCAGGTTTCTCCTCAGTGTGGATATACGATAGAAGTAAGCTTTGATATAGGTTGCTCATGCCTACGATACCTCTATGCTTCATTAGAGTAGTTTAAGCCCTAAATCCATAGAGCTTCTCAAAAAGCCTTGAACAGATCTAGCGAGTTCTGTTTGATTTACCAGAGTTATAAGGTCTGAGCGGTATCCTCGTAAAGAACCCTAAGAATCTGCCACCTATGCTCTCGTAACTTCTTTCTCCACTACTCTTCATCCATAACGTTTCGGGACTGGACTGGGTCTGCATACCACCAAAACCTGGTTATTAGATGTGCGCAGTGTTTTCTCATATGCAGACACAGTCCAATCCGGAAACGCTGTTATAATATCGCGTAAACCGGACATACGTGTCAAGAACCCGAGTACTGATTATCACGAGTGCTAAAGCAAAGTTTCAGCTCGACAAAGGAAATCGTTGACTTACTCACCCTTCACATATTCCATACCATTATAAAAATAAATGGAACAGGTGGTAAATCTGATAGTAATCAACTGTAGAAATATTGATAGAGCGCTTAATTAAGCTCACCGGGGCTCTGCAGGGAAGAAAAAATATACCAGAGAAAAGAATATGCAGCGAGGGAAAAACCTTGATCAATCAGAGCTGGAAGGGATCATTGAACCTCAAATCTTGTTGGTCTGATATCTGGTCACAAAATTGCCGGCCTCTTGATATTCTCCTTGCAAAAGTCAAGTGAGCTTGAATGCTCTAATGCTTGCAATGTACGCACTGTTGTAACAATGTGCACGTCACGACATGTACACCTATGCAGCTGAATGCAGGGAGTGACGTTTCCAATATCATCCCCCCCCCCCCCCACCCTGAGGGAATATCGATGAGCTGATTCAACGGTTGGAATGATTTTACCAATGCCCCTGTCTAGGCTTGAATTTCGTGGGATCTTGATTGAGCCAATCATAAGTTAACCAACTATTATCCGTCTTCGAGCCCTCACCGATTGTCCTATAAATTTCGAGGATTAAGTCGTTTCCCTGGGTACGAACTGCAATATCACGGTTTAGTTAGAATTTCACCGCGGAGATATACACATAAAAAGAAACCTACTGTGATGCGATAGAGGCGACTGTCTGAAGCCCCTATGAACTTTGAAGACTGAAATGTTCATTGAGATCAGATACGTCGTTGTGTCAAACCTCTCTGGTGGTCTGTTTAAATATGGGTATTTAGGTTGTGAACAAATAAATCAATAAAAATGATAATTTGTTATGATGAGCGTTTTTGTAGCCCAAATTTGGATTATAATCCTATGGCTGGCTGGTGAAGCGTGCGGATTCAGTTCAGGACATCCTATCACATTAGAACATTCTGGTTTGTAAAGTAACCTCTCTAGAATGGTGAAGGATAGTTATAGAGTAAGGATGGGATGTGGCTTAGTGACTTTACCACTGGGGGCCTGCTACTGGAATATTTGACAATAGCAAACGAGGTCGGGCTGGAGTATAATACTGTACTCTGATTGGTTAAAACAATGTAAATTTGTTCTTTTGGTGGTTGTTATTGAGGCTCAACATCCATTCGACAAATCAGAAAGAAGTGTTCACCCTATACCATCTGCCTGGGCCCTTTCTTTTTGCTATATGGTAGGAATTCCTGAACCACCGGACTAAGGGATAATCCTGTTGGCTCTTTAGGCATTTCGCCCAGGCGAGCTCCCGGAATAGGTCTAGAGCTAAAGAAGTAAAATCGACATTCGAATTCCTGATATAGAAATCTATGTAGACGACTTCACGGGGGTATGGTCAATCTCAAATATACCCCGGAATGATGTATGATACGCAGGGAGTTGATCGACTACCTCTTTTGGTTTCCATACAAAATCTTGGAATTGACCATACCCCCGTGTTGACCACTGTGACTAAAACGGTCGCGGCTTGAAAAAGACCAGGAAGTGATACTAGATACAAGTTTAGTGGTCACCGTTCCCTTGAAAGTAAATCTTTCTAGTAGATATTGGTAATTGCTGGGTGTTCGAATGTACGTGTAAAAACAGGAAACCACAGGACGGCCCGCACTACCGTGTTCTACTTACTGGTACCGTAGTGTATTGTGCTGTCGAGTTGATTTGCTGCTATGTAGTAATTAGTCAGCACTGACTATTCATTGATGTTATGAGACCAGAAGGGATTTGCAGCGAATGATTTGATATGACGCAATGAAAGCTATCTTTGGGGCTACTGAAATATAGACGACATACTTGAATATTCGAAAACTCACCGTATAAAAGTTGTTAACACTCGGGAGGCTGATTGCGGCATCCCCCCCCCCCAAATTGGGCGCTCAAGTACGGTCTGGAGAAGACGTCTAATAGGCTCCTGCCCTTTGTAGATCAGCAGGTTTTGGCTATTATTTTATGATAACAGACCTTATAAAATTTATCGACATGTCCCTCGTATCCCTTTGCCACTATCAAGAGCCTCAAATTCTGCTTTCTACGAAGCGGTCAAACCACACATTCATGGGGACAAGAAGGGGCAGATTAACCAGTGGCTATTAATGAAAAGGCTACTGATATGGTATTTTCTGAATACGGTATTCCTGAATAAAGGTGGATGTTGCCTGTTTGCCTGGAGATAGCGCTCGTAGAGTGCAGCCAAGAGGGAAGTGTTGGGTAGTGATGAAACTCAGAGAAGGGGGGGGGGGGGGGGGAGGGCATCAGAAGTGGGCGAAAGACGCTTTATATATCAAAACCGTTGCCTGGAATCAATACCTTAGGTGCATGTGTGTCGCCCGCGCCCCAGGCCATAAATTTGCTCGTTTAACCTCAACCAACTGTGTTAGGGTTCTTGAACCTTTAAATAGTTCTAGAGCCAGCAACTTTTCGGATATGTAATACAATGCTTAAATTAAAGTTTTTCTGTCGCACGTGCGTGCTAGTAGAGTGAGATTACGCTGTCTGGACAAGTATAATGTCTGGTACAGTAAATTTTGTGATGATAGCGACATCTCCAATTCGTGAGAATGGATTCCCGGAAAGTGTTCCACATGAAATCATTCATCTGAATTATTTGTAAAGAATAATGCGGTCAGGTATGCCAATAACCCTCAGTTTGAGCCTTCGAATTTTCCTGATTTATATGCTAATAGGTAAGTGAGTATTTAAAACACTCCTGCCGCTGCTCTGTTATCGGTTCTTTGTGGAAAGTCGCGATGATTGTATCTAGGACACTCGGGCCCGTGTGGTCGTTATTTTTTCTTAATGATCCATGTGACGTTATAATTATTAGGTTTCATTTTCCAAATATGATGTGCACACACCCTTTCACTAGGGTGGTCAGTGGAAGTGGTGGTATTGAAGATTCTGAATACAAGCACCTAGTAAGATGAATAATCGGGATCCTCTCAACTATTGAGTCCGAAGCTTCTCAACCCCGTTTACAGTCGCAACCGGATACGCCGTTCTGGGAATTCCGTGCGGGATGGCCAGGGGTACTAAAAATATACGGGATAGTAAATTAATTTGTAGTGGGAAATAGGGCACCCAACTGGACTTTGGTAAGGGATCAAATCCGGTATGTCGAGTTCTGGCTTTTGGGTTTCGACTGTGGAACGTTCCTGCGAGTGAGTAGCGGACATTCGGCTCCAGGATCCAGTAAATAATGTTTGCAGCTCATGGCGTACACAAATATTTCTTTGCATATCACAGATCTGAGTGATAAGTGAGGGGCAAGGGGCGGACCAGGCCTTCAAGGTCGGTTGAGGTTGCAGTCGAGGGATGACAGGTTGAAAAAAGGGCCCATCTGGCCTCAGCCTGAATTGGCATGGAAAATATACCAACACCCAATGACTCCTGAATGTGTAAGTATACGTAGCCCATTTGTAGCTGGCTGGGAGCATGCAGCCTACAGGAACGGTCCTTGCCACTGTGAAATCGAGCTGGTCTTCTCCTCCTACTCACTGATTAGCTTCAACCGAGGTCGATTACGAAACCAAGTGTATGGATTAATGCAGTCAGTCCTTGTGTGTTGTACGGGGTAATGCTTACGTGTGTGAGCCATTACCCGTACTCGAGCGTAACACTGCCTGACAGCGTCTGTATGCAGACTGTGTTTTGTCTTGCTCTATGAGCACAAACCACAGTTTATTATAGAATAAATTGTCCCTCAACTGCAATGGCATGAATACTAATTCCATATGTTAATGTATCTGCGAACTAGGCGAATCATTCGAATATCCTGCACGTGAGGTGACTCTTTCGCGATATGTGAATGGACATATCCCATTGAGTTCTACACATCCCTCGAGAAATATCTTCATCGGTACGCGGTTCTAGTTTATCAAGCCCCCATGATACGCACTAGCACAGAGGAGGGTCTTAGGGATAGTGAAGGCCATATTACCCCCAAATGCGTGTTACGCCATGATGAGCGCCTTTGTGGCTTTGTCTCTTCAATGCCATGACCCTTTGCCCGCCAATTAACTGCTTTGCTTTAAGGCGTCTCAATGCCGCCAAGGAGTGTTAACTCCTTTAAATCCCAGCCTGGTCAATCACTGTAAGAGTTCCATAATTGGTCAATCAAGCTAGCTTTGACTGATGCGGCCAGGGTATCCGCTCAACAATGCTCACGGATCCGGATGGTATCTATTTATTCCTTTGAACAATACCAGTGCTTGGCGGTCTCGATGCACCCAAAAACACCGAATCCAGGAAATCTCGGACATGATGGACGAGGTTAAACACTCCAGAGACTACCCTCTGAGGTTCTCACTTCGAACAGCCTCGATCGTGGAAAAAGTTGGAATTGGGATTCTGGATCGTTGAGCTTTTATCGACCGATTCGTGGTAGAGTATAGTAAGTTTTTTTCCTGGTGTGAATTCTGTTTTAATTAGCTTATGTAGGTAGGCATGATCGTATGAATGGCCAGATTGAAAGAAAAACAAAACACTAGCGGGTTTTATGTCACGTCATACAAAAGCAAGACCTTAAGGGAAGCGGTGCATAGACATATAATGAATTAACTCAATAGGAGGGTTTGACTTGTTTTTTGCTCATTTCAGTCGACTTTGCAATGAACTAATGGACGTGAATCGGCTTCATGAGATGTAAACGTCTCAATGAATGAATGAACTGATTTGCAAGTTTGTTGTATTCGTTACATGTATTTTATAACGTTTCCAGACACATCTTAGTATGTATAAAGACTAAATCTTCGTGAAGTAAGGAAAAGATATCACAATACCTAAGCTCGATTCCCTTATTATGATGGTTGCTATAATGAGCAGGGAAGCTGCTTGTAAGGGATATTGATTGGTACGAGACGTGTAAGTAATGCTTCCTGTATTACCGCACATTCTAATAGCAGAACACAAATTTTAAAGGCCATAAATAATCAGAGTTCGTATCTGGGTCTTGCATAAAAACATAAACCTATAATCTTAGCTTTTGTAGTTTCATATATAATTGTGGAAAGACAAGCCAGGGCATCAAAAAGGCTCTTTGCTTGGACCTGTTATTGCTATATGTGACGCCGGCGCAGCCGAAGTGGCGTCCTCAGAATCCCCAGCATCCCCAGCATGTATTCTGAGTTGCGCATGCAGCAAGATGGTAGCGGCTGAGAGCGCGGCGTATTATCATATCATACATGGCTAGTAGCATGCCTGTAGCTGAGGGAGCTTTAGGATCTTTACAGCTTGTCCATACAACAGATTATTTGAACTAAAATATACAAATAACACATATATCTCGTAACAAGACGCGTGTAATGAAAAATCAAGTGGCTGTTTAATGCACACTCTTGGGACTGACTGCATAGAGCGCATCCGAGGGTATGTATCTAATGAAAGCTCTCGTTGATGCATAGATATATCCGGCTGCCAAATGGTTGGACCGGGTGCGACGGTAAGAGATTCCGGCCAGTTATGGTAGTTACCAAGAGCGTTCTGGCGCAATATGTTGTGGTTTCTTTTTTTACTTAAAGACCTACTATTTCAAAGCGTCGAGAATGCGCAAGAGACGAAGCATGGTGGCGCCTGAGTCCTGGCGTTGAAGGCGCCTACTGAATGTGTTGCACAACGTCCTAGGCCTGCGTACGTATACAATACATGTAGGATTGCATGATCTCAACCTACTGATAACAAATCCTTAGTTAATTTCGTGCAATTGGATTATCATTAGACCCTTTGAAGGCACTTTTTCTGCTTACAGTTTTATTCCCTCAAAGCTATATGTACTCATACTCCGGACGTAAAAGCGTTATTGTCGTGTGTTGTGTGATCCAGTTAAGCTCCGGTCCAGCATGAGCCCATGTCAAGCTGGGTTCATAACATTGCATACTATCAGAGACCGGGTAACTACATGAATTCTTACAAATCAAAGTCTTCTCGGCACTTGCCACTAGACATATTGCGCATTAACCAGTGTACTGAGTAGCGACCACCATGTCCGAATTACCTCCCTCCGAATCTGCGGCAGCGCCTGAGACAAAAAAGTCATTCCCGAAAGGCCCAGTGGTACTAGGCAAGGACGGAAAACCGTGAGTTTGCCTCTAGCTGGGATAAGGATTACCGGGAGTGCATGTAGAAGACTAATAATATGGTGAGAGACTGAAAATAGATGTCGCTCATGTACTAGCTTCCGGGACTGGTCGAAGAATGCTGCCAAAGGAAAGTTTAGTGGTTCTGCTGCTGCTACTATTGCCACAACATGTAAGGAACATCTAAATTCATCTATCGGAAGACTAATACAGGCAATTGACATTCTATATAGTACCCTCTGACTGCCCTCCTGACGTAGAAGCCCTCGGTCGCTCTACCTGGACCCTTCTACACACCATAGCAGCCACATACCCTTCGAGCGCCACGCCGACCCAACAAACCGAAATGAAGAAATTCATAACTTTATTCTCACGGGTCTATCCTTGTTGGGTATGTGCCGAGGACTTCCAGGAGTATTTAAAGGAGCCGGAGAACAAACTCAAGGTTGTGGAAGAGAAGGGAAGAGGGCACTTGAGCGGCAGAAGCGAGTTTGGGTTATGGATGTGCAAGGCACATAATAACGTCAATGTGAAGCTTGGAAAGAAGGAGTTTGATTGCTCGAAGTGGGAGGAGCGGTGGAGGACTGGATGGAAGGATGGGAGGTGCGATTGAGGGATGCCATGAGCTCATAGCTGCAGTCACTAAGCATTTACAGCGAGAGGTAAAATTATTGTAGAAACAAGGGTCTAAAAAACAGGGTTTCTGTGGCTGGGCAAGCCAATAGGACTCCTCCCATATTTCTACAATAATCTTACCGCAAGCTGTACATAGATTCCCTATACGAAAAATATTATATTTGTAGATACCTTAACGTCGAAACGCATAAAATTTTGAGCCTTATTACGTACAGAGAGTCTTAATTAAGCATATTATACCAAAAGAGGCTAAATCAAGCGTTTATCTGGATTAGTAATATTAGCTGCTATTGCTTTTCCCAAAATAGGGTCAATTTGATGCTTTTTAATTCGGTAATGCTGTGCTTTGGTTTAGGTTTACCAAAAACCTAACCCTGATTCATCAACGAGGCATTACGCCTTATTCTCGATGCATTTTATTCAGGAATAAGCAATATACGTAGATTGATGGATATTTGATGCCGATATCGACGATTAGGCTTAGATACCGATACGCCTGAGCATCAAATAAGCAATATCAGGCACAAATGCTCAAATACCGATACAACTAAGCACCATATACGCAATACTGACGGTATAATCGATATTTGATGCTGATACTGACGATTAGGCGCTCAATAAGCAACTCTGGCACAGGCCAAATTACACTTCCAGCGACACCCCACCTTCCACCCCACCTTCCGCCTTCCACCTCCACCTCCACCTCTACCTCCACTGGCACCTCTATCTCTATCTCGATACACCTCCAGATTACCGGCCAATCAATCGTCAACATGCTGCTCAAAAGCCTCCTGCTAGTACGTCATTTGGTGTCCTCCGTCTAGCACGTAATTCTGCTGCACCTTTGCTTACTTTGCTCAGGGCGAGATTTAGGCACGGAATCGAGCATGGAATCGAGCACGGAATAGCGCACGGAATAGAGCACTGGCACGGAATCGAGAACGGAATCTACCCTTTGATGCCCAATTGATGCAGCAGATGACGACATACCCTCTATTCCTAGGAAGGTTGACGCTTTGGCTGATGTACTAGCACTAGATACCGCCTCCGAGTCCTCCGAGCCTAGCACGCCACCACTAGCAATATACCGTCGACACCGTACTCAAGGCTACAGGAAGTGTGTAATCTACGGACGGCACAGAAGAGGATGTGGAGGTGGAGGACACGGACACGGAGGAGCTAGAAGCAAGGAAACCGTAGCTAAATGGGGTATTATACATGTATATATATATATATAGATTAATAAGATATAATAGATTAATAAGATATAATATACCAAATCAAGAGTAAACAGCGCTATTGCTTATTCGTACTAGATAAAGCTCAAAAAAGTAATAATCATATTTAGGCTCTTAGTCTTATCCAAAAATCAAGATTTAATAAGTAAAAATTCGGTGTAAGCCTTATTCCCGAATAAGGCTTATTTTAGACTTATTTACGCCTTATTCCGGGATCAGGTTTTCAAAAAATTAATCATTACTTCGGGATTTGACTCATTGATATTACTAATCAATATCTAGCGCTATGGATTTTCCAAAACGTAGTCTTACAATACAGTTAAACCAAAACATGGGAAAACGCTCAAATCTTGCTTATATAAGCATCAAATAAGCAATATAAAAGGCTCAAAATTGTATGCGTTTCGACGTTAAGGTCTTGACTGATTGTATGATTGTATAATCAATTAACTGACTGGCCCGTTGAGTGACTGACCGGTTGAACAACCGGCCGACCGACCGACCGAATAACTGAATGACTGATCGATATGTCATTCATGTAAGAAACCACTGGTCTTCACTAGAGCTCTCTCCCCTCTCTTTAGTAAACTGCAAAAGTCTTGATTTTTTTTTTACGGCTTACCCAGCACTGCTTTTGTCAATGAAATGCCAAGACCGCGTGAAATATTACAGCTTTCTTTTTGGCAACGTGCCAAATGGGAGGTGTTGTGGTTTAAAGTGATCCAATCTTTTCACAGGCTATTTTTCATGATCCGGCTATTCACATTTTACTATTACTGATTGGTAAGTACATATATGCTCACCCATTAATTAAGTCCTGAGAATTCTTGGTAGCGATGACCTCACAAAATTTCTCAGGACCTACCTAATTAACGCGCGAGTAATCGATTTTTATATTCGTTGAGGGTAATGATGGATACTGGGTTTCCATCAATCAATTTTCTCGATATCGCTCTGGGCGTCACCCTCCTTGACTGCCAAAAGTCCATGTACGCCTTGAAACCGGTTTTGTCGTTGCCCCAAAAGTAGCTGAACTATACAAGTACATTAGTAAACGCTACATGCGTACCAAGTCCTAGTTCGTTCCTCCGAATTTTCTCCGAGTGACTCGGGAGGCTCTCGGAGAGTTAAGAAGTTTGGAGATTTTAAGAGCCAGAAATACTTGATTTTGTATAGCAAAATCGCAAGGATTTAAGGTTAACCGGTGGTGTTTAGCGTACAGAGAATCCGAATTTCTCGCTAGTGTGGAGGACTATGCTGACCCATACAGAATACGAAAAGCCTCCCCGAGAGCCCCTCTGGCGCTAGCATTTCCGAGAAGATAAGCCACCAAACGAAAAAGACTTATTACACCAGACTGTACCGTATCAGTACATTCTAGGTACGGGACGAACCAAGTCCATACTCACCCCTCCCCCCCACGTTCCACCCGGATCATGAGATATCACTCGCATCACCTGCACCGCAATTTTTTGTGCAACTCATCAATCCACCATTTTGTCATTTGGAGCAGAGAGCGACGCGTCATTATCTTGATATATCGTATGAGTCATACGTAGTGCCCGCTGTCTAACTGGGAGGAGTCTGAGTCGGATCCTGTAGATGCGTGAGTGGAGGATTGTTTCTGTTTCTGTGGGTTTATTGCTCTGTCTGTGAGGGGTTGTTGCGATCTGAGCTACTTCTTGGACGGCAACCGGCTCTAGCCCCTCGTGCTCACATTTATGCCCGTGTTTCCGGGTTGGTGCGTCGTAGCAGGTATACCGTCTATGGGTAGTTTCGGTCTAGTTATTTCTAGATCTGGCTTGGGCGTGGAGGTGAGAAATGAGCGTGCTTCGGAGGTGCAGGCCGAGATTAACTGCTTACAGAAAGTCTCCCTTATGCCATGCTCGGAGGTCAAAGATATGGTAGAAGCGACCTTCGGACGCCAATGAGAGACAAATCTTCAGGATTTGTGCAGGGGAAGCATAGAACGTTCCGGTCAGTAGGCGGAGGCTTGCTGTGCTTCGTGCCCCCCCCCCCCCCCATTGGATAGATGTAATCCCAGGTCTTTGTGCTCCTTTTTTTCACCTCCTATCGAGGCTTCTTATACGGAGGGCAAGCCTGAGACTAGCTACATAAGTAGTCACGAGGCACTCGTGGGAGTCAATACTGGGGAGAGATTGTGGATGTTGATAGTGTTGCTATTTTTCCTTTATGGATAGTCATTTTTGGCCGGCCGTGGAATCGGAAGGGGTCTGAGGGGGATGTTTCTGCCGGAGGAGATCTAGAGTCGACGGTGCATCAAGAGCGGCGGCGATGAAGATACTTCCCAGTGCCCCACCCGATCCGGATGCTCTCTTGTCCTACCACTGCGATATCTGTCCCTTAAAAGCTGGTCTCCCCGGAAAAGCACATAGCACAGGGAAAACGGAAAGTCACCGGCCGTGATTTCTCATACAATCACACATTCAAGGTATTCCTAGCCGGATATGCTGGATGGAGGCAACAGAAAGCAGCCAGTTACTATTAAATCTCATGTCAAGCTCATCTAGTCACCAGCTACGAATACCATCAGATGCTGTTTGTGTTTGTGTTCAAGAGGGGGAGGGGCGGAGTGGGGCATGTTGGCGTCTTTTGTGGCGGTTGGTGTGGTGTCGGTACGTGGTTGGAAGTGTGGTGTGTGGGAGCTGATGTCAAGGGGGTCACAGTACAGAGGGACGTGTCAAGGGCACTTTTTGATTTTTATAGCAGATAATTTTTCATTTATTTCCAACCCTTGCTCTCCTTTTATAGCTGTGAAATTATTCTAGCAGAACCGTGGAGAGTTCTTGAAACCGAAAATACAATGAAAGTTTACCGTGCATAAAGTGGCTGAGAGGGGTGATAGATAATTATAGGGGGGAGAGAGAGTGCGGGGAAGGATAGGGAATATAAAGAAATATTCCAAAGGAAAATTACATGATAAAGAAAACTTTCCGTTGCTGATAAGTCAGCTTTCATTGTTCGGAACCGGTGTTCCAGCAGCTGAGAGGGTTCTGATAGCGTTGTGCGGACGTTAGAGTTGGGCCGGGATCGTAGGGTAAGTACGCTAGTCCATTAGTGCGAGTGATACCAAGTGACGCAAGGCTAACTGCCACTAGCTTCATTCACTTCACTTCAAGCAACAACAACACCGTTTACATTGCCACAAAAAGGAAAAAAGATATACATAACTAAACCGTCCCACATTAAATCATCATCACCAACCAAAAAGAAAAAAAAAAAGACAGTCAACTACAACTCCTTCCGGCCCACCGCCTCCTCGCCAACATTCACACCACCAACCGCCTTCCCTTTTGCGGGCCTCTGCTTCTTCTCCATGTCAACGGCCCACAGCGCCGCGCCAACGGTATTCGTGTACGAGAAGAAGATCGAGGCGATAGGAACCAGTTGTAGTAGCATCGCCACAGTCCCGAATCTATCATACCGGCATCATTAGTACCATTACCACCACAGCAAGACAGGGAACGCAAACTCACCCAATATACGCCGGCTTATTCCTCTCCACAAACACCTCCTTCTGCTTCGCACTATACCCCTTCAGCTGAAACCACCTGTCATGAAATCCCGGCCCATTCTTCCTCGCCTGCACAAAAATAAACACCACCGTCCCCACAACGGGGATGAAGTTCAGCGGCAGCCACACAAGGTAGCTAATCAGGCTCTGGAGCGTGTACTTCTGAAACGGCCGCTTGATGGTCTTGCCTAGCCGCCCCATCGGGCTCCCGGAGGGGTTGAGCTCCCTCCCGTTCTGTACGAGGCGTGGAAGTCCTTCTTGTAGGAGGACGGCGTCGAAGATGTCTGTGAGCGCTTCGTCGATGAGGAAGCTACGCGCAAGTGCGGTGATGATGGCGGCGGACTCGGAGAGAACGAGGACGATGGTGGTTAGCCAGGCGATGGGGCCGTTGACGAATGTGAGGAGGAAGGACTGGGGTATGTAGCTGTTTTTTTATGCTTGTTAGCTGTGGGGTTATTGGTGGGGGGAGGAGAAGGGGGACGTACGTGAAAAGGAACATGGACGTGATGACACCAGTGCTGAGACCCATGAGGGGTACTAGCCGGGAGGTTAGCGGCTTCCACAGGGAGCGGTTGCGGGCAAAGTAGAATATCCCCTTGATGGGGTATAGGTAGGCTCCTGAGGCCACGGCCTCTCTGCCGAGTGCGGTGACGCCGGCGATTTCGCCGCGGACGGTCTCGCGGACTGTGTCTTGTAGCGGCATTTCGGAATCTGTTTTTTTTATAGAAGGGTTTTCTTTCGAGGAATAAGGGTATCGATATCGCTTCGCCGCGCTGATAACTTTGAGACAGGAAATCCAGGGTTTTATATCGATTTTGTCTGGGCTGGTGGATATGGATATTGCGATGCTACGTCATTGAGCGGTCATTGGGTTAGGGTTTGGCATGTGGTTCCTGACGATGGCTTGGCTGGAAAGCTTGGCTGCACGGGAGTCTTCCAAGGTTTGTGAGACAAACACACGGTTTGGTTGGATGCTTGGCGATGACATAATGTTTCTCGAAAGTGCGAAATGTATTGCAATAGCTTTTATCCTATGTTTTTGTGTCGGGATAAATGGTGATATACCTTTGAGGTAGAACCTAAGAGTTGCAAGCGGTGTAAGAACTCAATGTGGAGGTACTGCTAGGGAATAAGGTTCAAAGATTGAGGACCAAAGGGAGATAATGCTCCGGATGAATAGTCCGGCTCGGTGTTGAAGAATGCTCAAGTATAGGGATTTTAAAAGTACATGTAGTTATTACCGGGAGTCATTGAAACACAGAAAGGACTGGAAGACTGCTGTAGATATGCTTTCTTCTATTGGCCTTTGAGCCGCCTAGTGTAGTTGACGTCCTTTGATAGCATTTAGTTCGATCATGGAGCGTGAGCATGTCTCGTTACTCGGCGGTGATAGCACTTCAACGACCAAGATTAGATTAGATTCCTGGTCTAAGATCAGATCAGATCTATATTAATACTAAGACAATAGGTTTTGGTGTAGAATCTGACCTGGTTCCACTGGTGAGAGAGCGGTTTAACCGTGCATTGCAACCTCTCTACAATGTTACCGTCCCCATACTGTCGGCCTAGGTTAGAACCCTGGAGGCATCGGGAAACCGATGCCCAAATTGCTGCACCCCCCCGGATTTGAGTTTTGCTTGAATGCTTCCCCCGGCTGCCTTCTAAATGCAGCGCTGTACTGCGTGTTTGTACCTCATCGCTCAAGGATTGGGTTATAGCACGTTACGTATATGTATGTATGTAAAAAGATCTCCGCTGGATTCGAATGAGGCCATCAGAATGATCAACTCAAGCACTCCTAAGCAAATGGAAGGTGGTATCAATTTTAGGGTGCGTAGAAGTCAAAAGAGAAAGAAAGAAAATAAAAAATAGATTTCTAATCGTTACTATATGTACCCCGGGGGGTAGCTGATACCACTCATGGAGTGTGTGGGAGCGGAACGACGAGTGATGGCTCATGAGTCATGACTACTCTGACGGTGAATCGAGTGAATACGTTTAAACTTTAAAGGGCGTACTATTTGTAATAGACTATACAAGAAGAAGAAATTAATGGGTCATTATCTTTGAGATATTTTAATTGGTGGCTCTTCAGTGGGATGAAAGGACGTAACAACGTAGTACCGAATTTTCTGGTATCCGTGATTTAGAGTTCTTACCGCCACGCATCGTGCCGCGTATTTTCGTTTGCATAGGTATGAAGTTTTGGAGTGTGTGAGAAAATGACTTGAGTGTGATTTGAACACGTGACCTTGAGGGAGGATGAGGTTTGTAGTGCGAAGAAGATACTATTGCGCCGCTGAGGTTCCAGCGACAATGTGGGCGTTTGAGCGCTCTATATATACAGATATTCTAATACCACGTGATCCCCTGATTACATAATCCTTCACACTAAGCCTTGTCTGAATCCCTGTTCCTTCTATGAGTCATCCCTTATACATGAGTAATTCCATACATAACCGATGTCGCAATGCCCTATTTCTACACTTCCCCTCACTTGCCACATCGTATCAATTCTGACAATTTTTGGTGAGCTGGTTTCGGTAGTCCTTTGGTCATTAAGTCTGCAACATTGTCTTCGGTTGGGACATAGAGGAGTTTGAAGGTTTCGGCTTCGAGTTGTTCACGTGTGTAGTGATAGTGAACGTCGATGTGTTTGGACCGGTCGTGGATACGTGGGTTCCGACAGAGTTCGATAGACCCTGTGTTGTCGGCGTGGATGTTGTATTGGTATTGTTGTTGGAGTTCGCATAAGGCGTTGCGAATCCATACCAGTTGTCGAGCTGTTAGGGACAGAGCCATATATTCGGCTTCTGTTGTTGAGACTGCGACTGATTTCTGCTTCCGGCTTCTCCAGCTTATGGCTGATTTTCCTAGTCTGAACACGTATCCTGAGAACGATTTTCTGTCATGTAGGTCTGAAGCGTAGGAACTGTCTGAGAAACCATCGAGTGTTCTAGTGTTTCCTTTCGGGTAGAACAGGTTCCAGTCCTTGGTTCCGTTGAGGTATCGGAGAGTTCGTTTGGCTGCTCGTAGGTGGTCCTCAGTTGGGCATGAGGAGTACTGAGAGAGGGCGGTAACGGTATGGGTGATATCAGGTCTGGTTGCTATGCTGGCGTACATGAGTGATGCAATTATGGATTGATACTCAGTTGGTTTCTCGATTTGATCTTCTGGTTCTCCTTTACGAAGACTCAGATTTGTTTCGAGTGGTGTGCCAACTGGTTTGCAGTTATTCATTCCAAATTTGTCTAGGATTTTGTTGATGTATGCTAGTTGTGACAACGTGATACCGTTCTTTGTTACCGTTATTTCTATTCCCAGTAGGAATTTCGCATTACCGAGATCCGTACATTCGAAATCTGCCTTGAGTAGTTGTCTGATTTCGTTTCTGAATGGGGAGTCGGGTCCGAATATCATGATGTCGTCAACATACACCGATATGTATAGTTGGTGTTTCTTATGTATGAAGACACATGGGTCGAATTTGGCTGGGACAAATTCTTTCCGTTGAAGGGAGTCTGCTAGGCAAGCGTACCATTCACGGGGTGATTGTTTTAGTCCATATATGCATTTTCGAAGTTTACAAACCTTATGGTACTGCCTGTAGCCTTCAGGTAGTTCCATGTAGATTTCCTCCTTAAGTATACCATATAGGAAGGCTGACTTGACGTCCATTTCTTGTGGTATCCAACCGTTGTGTGCGGCTAGTGCAAGTAGGAGTCGTAGGGAATCGTATCGGGCAACGGGGGCGAAGGTTTCATCATAGTCTTGATACTGTACTTGGGTGAAGCCTTTGGCGACGTATCTAGCTTTGTATCTTTCGATTGTTCCGTCCGCGTTGTGTTTTACCTTAAATACCCATTTTCCTCTGACTACTGCTCGGTTGGTTGGTCTGTCGACAATGTCCCAGGTGTGGGCCTTGTCGAGGGCGTCTTTCTCTGTCTGTATTGCCTTCTTCCATAGGTGTTGATCATCGCTTTTCATTGCTTGATTGAAGGTGGTAGGTTCAGTTACTAGGTGTACCCGATGTATGGTGGGATCCAGGTTGTCGTACTGGCTTTGGAGCTTTGCCTTGTCCTTTTTGTGGTCTAGACTGGCTGCTTCCATTGCTAGTTGCTTGGTTTGTTCGTCCATATCTTCATCGGCTAGTATTTCTGATACCTCCTTGTCATAGGTGGTTCCTAATTCCGATATTTTCTGTCGGATTTCCTTCCTTTTCCCTTCGATATCAAGTGCTGCTTGTTTCTCCGTTCTTTCACGGATGCGATTCGATCTTCTTGTTGTGACAGGATTCGGGACTTCAGATTCCTTCTCCTTTTCGGTCGTTGGTTTCCAAGGTTTCGGTTTCCTTGGTGGTTCCGGAGGAGGTGTTTCTGTGTTTTTCTGATTAGCTTCCTGTTTATTACTTTGTTCGAGGTGACGTCCAGGAGTGGGCCTCGTAAGCCCGGCCCCCAGTCTACTTGCGTCTGTTTCAAGGTCTTCTTCGAGTGCTGACGATTCGGGTTCTTGATCAGGCCTGTCTTCTGATTCATATCCGTCGTCTGTTGGTGCAGGTGCCGCTTCTGGTTTCAGGATAGGGGTGTAGTCGAGTTCCACGGAGACTTCCCCTGATTCAGGAGGGGGAATGTGACATCTCGACTTACAACTAACCTATTTTGTGATCCTATCCAGGTGCGGTAGTGTTTGGTACTGTCTGAGTATCCGACTATGATTCCTTCGTGTGCTCGGGGTGCTAGTTTGCTTCCTGCTGGCCTAGAGTTTTCTGGGATGTGGACATAGCATTTCTTTCCGAATGGTTGAAGGTGTTGGATACTAGGCTTTGAACCTTTCAGGGCTTCGAAGGGGGTCTTTCCCTTTAGCGTACTGTGGCGTAGCCTGTTTTTGAGGTAGACAGCTGTTGAGTATGCTTCACCCCATAATGATTTAGGATGGTCTATGATCATGCACCTGACCATTGTTGTTATCGTCCTGTTGAATCGTTCTGCAACTCCATTTGATTCAGGAGTGTATGGGAGAGTCTGTTCGTGGACTATTCCTTGTAGGTTGAAGTAATCCATTGTATCTTTGTTGACGTATTCGCCACCACCGTCCGTTCTAAATCTCAGTATTGTTGTATTGTACTGTTTCTCGATTTTCGTGACGTAGTCTTTGATGGCCTTTATCGCATCGTCTTTCTGTTTTAGCAGATATATCCAGGCGAAGCGAGTATAGTCGTCAATGAAGGACATGTAGTACAGTGCTTTTCCTTGCGATTGTGTTCCGAATTTTCCAGATAGGCCAGAGTGGATTAGTTCGAATGCTCGCTGGGATCTTGTACTAATTGGTGCAGGTTTCTTGTGTACACTTTTTGATAGTGCACATTGACTGCAATGGAATGTTTCTGGTTTGGGGGGTAGCTTATGGATGTCTTCGTACAAGTTTTCTAGTGTCGCAGGGTGGCCTAGTGCTTGATGCCATTCAGAGTAAGTGGTCAAGCGAACTGTATTGCTAACTACTTGTACATTCCAAAGTCCCTTATCCAATTTCGCCCAAATTATTCCTTTCTTTTCTTTCGTGACCAATTTGTTTCCTCCTCCTGACTCTGTTCTAAACCCCTTTTCATCGAGTACGGTTTCTGAGACCAATCCCACATTTCCCATGGTTGGGACCAGCAGCACGTCAGTGAGAACAATGGTGGATCTATCTCCATTGGGAAGGTAG